TTGGTTTGACACACAAATCCAGAATAATTACACCTGTTTCCAGAGCCCTTTTAAAGAACATGACCCAAAACACAAAAATCCTTCTTTATTTCTTGTAAGCATCAACAATGCAAAATTCATCTTAAGAGGCACTTCCTGGGCCTAACTGAAGTGGTTTTGTACCCTGATGTCCAACAGTTTGATTTTAAAGAGTGGGAAGTGCAGGTAGAGGCTGTAAGGGAAGATTCTAACCCATGAGAGACAGCTTTTGTAGCTCTGCCCACTCCTGGGCACATCTGGACCACTGGGTACAGAACAAGTGGCACTGCACGTAACCACAGCAGCAGGGACAAAGGTCACAGGCAGAAATCAGCCCCTGACATGCTGCACAGTATATAAAGGTCAGCACTAAACCATTAAAGGGATTTTATCACTTACTTCAGATATTTTGCATATTCAGGTTCTTTCCAATAGAGTAAATATTTAAGGTAATTCACAAATGCTTTGTCTTTAAAGTAGCCCCTTTGTGCAAGAACTGAAACGAAATGACAAAGGAGGAGCTGTCAGTTACAGGCGGTGACAGAAATCTGCAGGTTTGAAGAACACAAAGTCCAACTTTATCACTACAGTCAAACTTCAATATGGATGAGACAAACAAAAACCACTACAAACTAGTCAAAATAAATTGTCCTCATGTCCCTCACAGTTTGTACTTCGTGCAATGGAGCAGCTTTTTGAACAGGACATGTTTGTAGCATCAAAACTGTAAGGGAGTGAAGTACAGTCCCTGGAACTACTCACAGCACCAAAGTGCTGTTTCCAGATACAGGGATGCTGTTAGCTTGGCACTGTTGTATAACTACAGAATACTGTTGGTTTTGCTCTACCAAAGAGATGTTTTTCGGCATTTCAACCAAAAACGGATTTTGCTTTTTAAAAGCCCATCTGTTAAACACACAGGTTATTTACGGAGTGCCTCTATGCTGTGAGATACACTGCCTCTGCTCTGCTTAGCCCTCCCTCTCCCTGCTCACACACCATCAAACTGCTAACCCCTAGGGGTGGAGTGTGCCTCGAGTACTCACAGTTGAGGTAATTGGGATTTGCCAGGCATTGAACGAACTCTAACTCCAGCTGGAATCGGAGTCGGTTTCCTGTGTCATCTGACGCGCGAGACAGACAGTAAGAACTGGACCCACACAGCAAAGCAATCGCCGTCGGTGTCACCGCCCGAGCGGCGCCTCCGGCAGGGGTGCGGGATCAGCCCGGGCCGG